AGAGAGCCATTGCGGTTGTCCATCTCCTTTGCATCCCTTGTTGCACATCTCCTCTCGCTTCACTCCCTCTGAGCCATCACCCCAGCAGCAGGAAAATACCCTGGGGCACCCATTTTTATTTTACAGAGTAGACAGAGTTGGGATCTCTGTGTACCAAGGAGATCCAGACCCAGATCAGGACAAGCAATTGGAGACACTGGGATGGAGCAAAGGATTGGCTCGCTGGGAGGTGAAGGGACAGACAAAAAAACTTAAGTCCCTCAAGTACAGAGCCTACCCCCAGCTGGTCCAAGGTGTGATGGCTCCTACTGAAAGAGCAGAGCTTGATCTTGTCTCCCTACGAGGCGACGCTGCTTCTCCAATCTACCAACTGGCCAAGAAGGAACACATCCTTTTTCCTCAGGGTCGAGAAGGCGTGCTGATGCCAGTTCCCTTCTGTGACTGCTCTTTGGGGTCTTTTTCTTCCTAAGTTATATAAACTGGTGTCTCATCTCCAGGCCTGGACACATTTCATGATTTGGGTGTGAACTAATTAAAGCCAAGTTCACGGAGCCTTGTTCGCAGACAATTGCATCGCACACTCTGCCTGCTTAATGAGCAGCACTAACACAAGCGGCATCCAGGAAACCAGCACGACGGCAAAAATACTCTAACGCGCGGCAGCGCAGCCTACGCTACCTCAGGGCTGACCTTTTGGACCAGGCTTGACTAATGAATGGCATCCCAAATTCTTGGCACTGCGAGCGGCTCTGTGACGAAGACCCAGGCATGACAGCCCCGCTCAGACACAGCCAGAAACATCCTAATACCTCCAAACACACACACCCCCTTTCACTGCCTGCACCCTCCTTCACATCTGTTGCATACCAAGGCAGGCGACACGAACCAAACCCAAGCAACCTCCTTGCTTTCAAAGGGACGATCCCAAAATTAAGCCTCTAGGTACTCTAGGTGCCCTTTCAGGTCTCATATCTGCGTTTCTGCACTGTTTTCCTGGAGCTCCCCAGTTTCACCTGGTTTGCTCTGCAAGCAATACTCATGTGTTTACTTGTAGACCCCTCTTTTTGGAGGTATTTGGAGGTATCCAGCATCTCTCATGTCTCGCTCATTTAGGAGAAATTTTTTGTCTTCTCACCTCAGCGATCCATTAATTTCCTCAGCTCCCCCTGCACACATATCGGAGCAATATCCAGCATCTCTCATGTCTCGCTCATTTAGGTGAAATTTTTTGTCTTCTCACCTCAGCCATCCATTAATTTCCCCAGCTCCCCCTGCACACATATCGGAGCAACTCTTCACATGCAAGATATAAAAGTGTTTGAAAAGTGTCTCCACATCACCACAGCCACATCCAGAGCTGTTTGGAGCACACATGGCCATAGGAGAAGACAGAGATACTCACTAGGAAGCCCAATACCAAGCAGAGTGTGTCTGGATGTACCCCTTGACCGGCTCGCTGCAAGACAGAGAAAATGGATGCTAAGTAGAAAGCATAAAGAAAGCCAATCCCTTCACAGGTTGCTGCTAAATTAAACCTGGGAACACGCACAGGGTGATGCAGCACGGGGCATGCGGAAAGAAAACCCCCACACAGCTGAATCTACCCGGCAGCCTGACCAACTGGAAAGAAATTCAAGCTGTCAAGTCGGAAAGACGGCTCTGCTGTTATCAATTACACAGTCGGGCTCGCTCGGGGAATGGCCGCTGCCTGCTCCAAGAAGTGACGAAGGAGCCGAGATCCTCAGGCTGACAGTGATTCATTATTTATTCTGGAGGCAACGTGAGCCACACATGCCCAAAATGCTCAGCCATCCGAGCTAGAGACAGCCGCTGCTCGAGTGTGGGGTATCTGCTTCAGCAAGGGGAGGTGGCCCAGGCCCTGAAGCCGAGGTAGGCTGGGATCTGATGGCCTTGATAACTCCCGAAGGAAAAATACAGCAGTTAATACTCGGGGGCAAGCAGCCCAGGCCTCTTGGCTGGGGACAGCATCCAGAACAGCCGATGCACCATCCAGAGGACATGAGGGGGAGGGAGCAGAATTACTGAAGGACCTCTCAGGGTTCCCTCCGTTTTGTTTTTCTACTAGAGCACATGGGGAAAAAAGTTCACATATCTCCAGTAACAGACAACATCCCCAAGGAACAGGTAATTGAGGAGCAGGTCATACACAGGACAAAGTAAGCGTTACTGCTACCCAAGACACCTACCAGAAGGTGAAGAAAGCCACAATAACAGCAGTGACCAGGAGCTGGACCATCAGGATGGCATAAACCTGCAACGAGAGGCAGCCCATGGGCAACCCACAGACTCTCTGTTTCCCACCCAGTCCGGGGAAGGCAGCAAAGTCATTGCAGCCACGTCCCTCCAAGGGCCCAGGAGCTGCCTCCTGCCTTCACAAGGCAAGGCTGAGCCTGGAGAGATTTGCCCCTTACCTTCCTGATGAACACCCTGCGCACGTTCCTGTCATCCCAGCTGAAGGTCGTGAGCATCTCCGTGTCCCCCGGGTACCCACCACTGCCATAGCTCGGGCTCGTGCCTGAAGCAGAGGCAAGATGGATCAGCTCCCGCCCCCCAGTTCCCTCCCCAACTGCAATAATCTGACCCAAATGATCGATTACATCTCAGAAGGCCCAAATTTCAAGGTTTTCTCGTTGCACTGCAAAACTGAGGCTTGCTGGGATGCACTCTGCTCCCTTCCCACTCCCGCAACTAATTAGGACCATCTCTGATAGCAGAGAGGTGAAACCACTGCTGCAAACTCCAGCAGGACCCGGACACCAGGGTTAGTGCCTGTCTATGGTAACACCACACCTTTAATGGCAATTAGAGGGCTCGTATCATATCCTTGCTCACCCCTCACTGAATATTAAAGCATCCCCCAGAGGAGCCGTGACTCAGCACCTCAGTCATTCCCATCAGGAGCTCTGGTGCAGGAGGATTCCCTCGCTGCTCTGTAATTGCCTGAGCTTAGACGGTGTCTGCCTCGTGTCTTATGTCAACGGTGTGCCCTCTCCGCTGAGAGCAGCTCATTACAGCCAGCTTTTCTGTCCAATTTCCATGCAGAGAGTCAGAGAATGGTTTAGCAGCAAGCCTAAACAAGGGGGAAAACTCCAGTGCTACGGCTGAGGGTACCTTCCCCCAAGACCACTGCCCCACACAACCCAGCTCCGCTTTGCTGGGGGCTCTGTAATACAAACTCTGGTTGCTGGAGTTTCCCTGCAGATGGGCAAGGAGGGAGGCTGTGCCATAAAGCATCAGGTTGCTCCGCAGCCTGAAGAGAGATGGAGGGAAACATCGGAAAACCTCTGCCTGCTGGGAAGGCGACTGTGCCGGCGGCCAGGGCTGAAGGTAGCAGCGAGGATATTGCAGGGCAGGGGGCTGCAAGGGGAACCCCAAAGCAGCAGCTTCCCCCTGCTAAGATCGGCTACACAAATTAGAGATAAGAACCAGCCTTCTCCATCTCCTGAACCTCATGCTTAAGAAAAAACAAATACTGAAACCTCAGTTGTCTTAACACATCATCACCCTGTGCTGTTTGCTTCTCTTGCAAGTATTCCCCTCCATGTTATTAAGTCTCCCCACCTGGGTTTCCTATAGAATGAGGGCTTATGTGATTATACCAGCTATACATTCATGTCTCTGCCTGTTTGACAGATGCCTCCCCTCCTTCTCAAAGCTTTTTAGCTCAGTGATACTCAGATCCTTCAGGCAGATGGAGGAAAGACCCTCTCAAACTCGGAGGACAGGCTGTAGACACCAGGAAAGCCAAACTCTAGGCCCTGGTCCTGGATTTCTTCTGTTCTACTGGTCTTGCTCTTATTGCAAAAAACTCATCCTAAAGATACTCCTGGCAGGAAATAAATCCCTTGTGTTCTCTTGTGCTCAATATTTTATGCCCCAGTGGAGATGACACCTCTGCAGCGCGTCCTCCCCGCGTTTCTGCCGGATCTGTCATCGCCCATGCGGGCCAAGAGCACCTGAGGCCCGTATTATCCCCAGGACACTTCAGTGCCTTCTGCATCAAAGCAACCAAGGCATCTAAACACCAAATTAAGCACCTAAATGCCTCAGAGGAATGGAGGGGGTTTCCTCCTCCCTGCCTAGTGTCCCCAGAACCCATCACCTCCCACCCATGGCCACATCTGAGGCAGTGAGACAGGGTGCCCCAAGCTCGTCGTTAAAGAAAGCAACCCAAACCACACGTTACTTCTCTCCAGCTACTTCCAGTCTCATATAATCTGTTCGACACAGCCCCATGGTATGTGTCGTCCCCAGACCCTGGTACAGGAGCCACAGCTTGCAGCATGGCTGAGGGCAGAGAAAGGGGAAAAGGACATGAACTCAGAGGAAAACACCAGCAGGGATAAGGACACAGGGCACAGAGAGCTGCAGAGAGGAAATTCTGCCAGGCTTGTCAGGAAGGGGACAAGAGGTGACACATCACCTAACAAGTCCTCCAGGATACCCAAAATACCAGCATCCTAACCCATTTGGGCTTTACCCATCCTAATTCATCACGACAGCAGAAAGACCCAGATGGTTGTTACAGCAAGCTGGGAGGTTATTTATCCCCTCTGTTTCTGACCCCTGAAAGCAAACGAGAATGGGAGAAGTCTGTGAAACCATCAGAGCGCGCACACATCTCGGAGGGGTTTAGCTCTTTCTCCTTCCATAAACATCTCCATCCCTGCAGCTGCAACCGTCCCCGCTGGATGGGACAGGCAGTCAGCAAAGCTCAGCAGAGGAAGAGGATTGAGCAGAGAGAAAGGAGTCAGGAGTCATTAAATCCAGTCCCTCCAGCGCTCTCTCTCCAGTTCAAGCTGTGCTGACCAAGCAGCTGGCCACCCCAGCAGGCTCGCTTGCAGGCCACTTCATCCATCCCAGCTTGCCGCTACGTGGCCGTTCCCCTGCGTCGGGCACAGTCGAGCCTTTGTCTGTTTGTCACGACCAAGCAGAAGCTGCCGGCAGCACCCAGGGAAGAAAAGCTGTTTGTTTGCCGAGGCATCGGCCACACAGGCCAGCGCTGGAACAATTCAGCCTTCAAGTCCAGCCGTGTTTTAGCCTCCACTGGCTCTGAACACCGGCTCACAGCAGCCGGACACCACTGATGCGGCGGCACCGATTTTTGCCAATTCAGCGGCTTCTTTGAAAGCCGGGGTTGAGCAGGAGCTAGAGCGGGGGCTGCTGCCTGCAGAGCCAGGAGCATTGCACCAGGCCTCTCCCCAGCCCTGGGAGGTGGCGTTGCCCAGTGCAGCAAGCTGGGAGAGGGGATTTTTCCCATCCCAGTACTGGAAAGGAGAGCATGGACAGAGCACTGGAGTTTAGTCCCTCCTCTGGAAGGCAGTGTGGTCTAGTGGTTGGGCAAAATGGCTTCTACATGCATATATACTCTTACATGCCTTATAGCTACAGCTGTAGGTGAGCTCTACCACGGACCACACTGGGCACCACATCCCTGGTTCCCCTCTTCTCTTCAAGCCTGTAGGGGGAATCTCTGCACCCCTCTACCCCCTCTGCAAGGGGCTCACCCAGGGTACAGCCACAGAAGGACTTACTGGGGTCGACATAAGCCCAGCTGGGGTGGAGCGGGACCGATGGGGGAGGAGGGTAAGCACCAGACTTCATCCCTTCTCCCGCTGTCGCCTCCTCATAGGTTGGGGGAGCTGGTGGAGCCGTGGCATTGTCCTTCTTCTCCCCTTGCCCCTCAGAGTTGGGGGGTTTGTTGTTCACAGAGAGCTGCACAGAAGGTGAGGGGGGGTGTGGAGAAAGAGATTAGACCATAAAAACAGCACAGAAACTGCTGCCCTGCAATGAGAACCCAACAGGGCACAGACAGAGGTCTGGGGGTCCCTCTGTTGGAGGATGGGGTCAGGAACTGGAAGGACACGCAGCAACCCCTGTGGGCTGGCAATGGCCTCACCCCTGCACCCCTAGGAAGGAGCATCTTCTGATGTGATTGAGGGGAGACAGGAAAACACCTGACATGTTAAAGGGGATGAAAAATTATAGGCAACCAGGTCTGAGGGGAGACACAGCCTTGCCCAGGGTCCCCCATGGTGCCTCAGGCTCATATGTAACACCAGAAAGCATCCAACATTCTTTGCTTTTCGGCCTACTTCTTCCTAAATCTCCCCTTAAAAAAGAGCTTTCAGTTACTGGGCAGAAAATCATGAACGCCTTCATTTCTACTCACACCCGCAATTCGGGGAGTTTCTCCTACCCCCCAGGACATGCTCTGGTTTGGCCCTCCAACTTTCTCTTCTAGCTCGTTGCTCTCTGCCCATCCAGAGGCTCAACCTGGCTACTTTGTGTAATTTGAAGACGCAGCTAAGGGACTTGGGATCCCCTGTCTTCAGACTATGAAATCCCAACAAAGAGCCAGCCTCAGGCCACCCGAGAACTTGCTTCTCCTTGGGAACATTATCCATTTAACCTTCTAGCTCTTTGTCACCCTGGGATAAGTTATGAGCCTGGTATCCTGCCCTTGCTGCCAAAGTGGGTGCCAGCTCCGTGTCAGGGATAGCATCCCCATGGATCATGGGGATGGGGGGCTGGAACCACAAAATGTCCAAAGTGAAGCACACAGACTAACTAGCACTGCAACAGACAGCACAGTCCCTGTAAGGTGGTCTGAAATTAAAGGTGTAACAGGCCCTGGAAAATAAAACCAGGCTACCAGGCTGGGATGTGCACCACAAGATGATCCAGCTGCCTCAGGATAACTGTGCCACCTCCTCTGCCAGCTCATAGGGACTGTCCTCACCCTGTCCTTTGTTATATAGCCCCTGGGCATAGGGTGGCCAATATCGTGCAAAACCCCCAGAGACACCCAAGGAGATACAAGAGGGACAGTGCTGCCTGCATCCAGGCAGCCTCCTGCATCGTTGCCATGGCAATGGTGCACGGTGCTGGCAGAGGATGCATAAACTCCCCCTCCTGGGTCTCAAGAGCATTGGAGAGCCCCCAAAATCCAGAGCTCCCTGGACCAAGAAGGGGGTGCTCAAGGCAGGTGCCAAGGGCTGACTGCTGGGGGCATGGCTGGGAGAGCACAAGCACCCCGTTGAGCTCCCTGACATCCCGGATGGGTGGAGGAAACAGCCACGGGTCCAACAGCGGTGTGGAGCTGCGCATCCAGCACCAGGAAAAACAGCCCCCAGCCCCATAATGCCATAGCCCTCCATCCCCTTCCCCTACTGAAAACACCCCCATCCCAGGGGCCAATGCACTGGGCTGCGCACCGGTACCCAGTTCCCCCCTCCACAGCCATCGCTTTATTCCTTAAACCCCCTCCCTTCAACCCACTTCTCCCCTCTAAACACGCAGCAATTATGCAAGACGACTCCTCATCCCAGCTCTGGCCTCCCACCTACCTTCCCCTGGGTCATGGCTCCTCGCTAGCGATGCCGCCAGACCCCGCGAGCAGGAGGGAGAAGGCCGTAGCGGAGCACGAGCCTCCTCGCCGGGTCCCCTACA